GAAAGAATACTTGAAATGAAAAGAGCAATTCAAGAGAGAACAGAACAGGAGTACAAGAAAAATGTTGGCTTTGAACAAGCTGCAAGAAAGTAGCTTTACTGCAGTTTTCAAGGGTCAAATGCCCCGTATATTATTGTAGTATTTAAACCTATGACACAGGCTAGAAGCAGAAAAACATGCAGCTTTTTCCAAGCATTGAATCCAGAATACAACAACTGGACTGGAGGAAGGGTGGTTATGGATGGATACCAGCATTTAATTTTTCGTAGTGCAATGGCACTCGGTGTACACCAAATTGTCAGAAGCACTTGTCATTACACAGGGCCCTAACTAGGGGGGGAGCACAGGGTGCACGTGCATCCCCACATAAAAGCTTAAGGTCTGCTCATCCATCTCCTTTTTTTTTGTTTGCTTTCTTTTGGTTACCTTTTTTTATTCTTATTTTATTCTTATTTTTTTGGTTCTGTTTCTTTTGGTCACCTTTTTTAAAAAACCGATCAATGGTCCAATTTTATTCGATGTGCACCCTCCCTGTAAAAGTTCTGGTTACAGCCCTGTTACATTCATATGATAGTGAAGAAATCATAAAGTACTGCAACAGAGATATTTACAGTGAGGATATTTAAGTCAAACACTTTGAATGTTTTTCAGATAATTTCTAGAGATTTCTAGTGTTTCCCACCATGTGATCAAAATAAATCTTATCTCCTATCGATTGCCTCATAGTTATTATCAGCGAATGGTTAGGAAACTCTATTGTTATAGGTTATTGTTCACTTTTTTCAAGTGTGACCGTGCAGAATCCTTTGTTTTACCATCGTTTTACCATCGTTGGCAATGGCTGAGTGAACAGACCAAAATCTTTCTTTTGGCTGCTAGTCCAAAATACTTAAAGATTTATAAGAGGTATATATTTTTTGATATATGTTTACTTATTTTGCAATTTCGGATGAGCATAAATCAAACATATTGCACGGTCAAGACCAGTTCAACCTCAAAAGCGAACAAAGACCTGATAACAATAGGTTTCCTAACCATTCCCCTCTATTAACTATGATTGGCTCAAGGGATGAATTCAAGTGTCGTCATTGTAGTATTTCCAGAAATTAACTGATAACTCAATAATGTGGAAAGAAGAGAGATTGGGATTTCTAAGGGATTGGAAGTGTGAGAGGGGGGTTAAAGAGGAGGAACTAAAATTTCCAAGTGGCTTGGAGGGGTAATGTTCTTTGTGGAATGCCATCTTAGTAAATTCTTTATAGAATTCCCTAATCACAGGAAGTCCATCTTCTTTAATATTTTTCCACAAAAGTAATGGAAGAAGCAATACATTCAGTCAAGCATTCTGTCAACACCATCCTTTGTAAATATGAACTTTTTATTTGTTTTTTTCGTTAATAAATATTTGCTTTTACTTTGCAYTTTCTGTGTTTCTATATATTGTATATTTATATATTTATTTTGATCATTCTATTTGAGGAAGAAAGTGAAGGTACATCCTTCAGTATTTTGTGGTGTCTAAGTAAAGCCACACAGACTTAGAGCAATAGACCCTTTTAGCTTGAACATAATATTTTCCCATTTCAGACATGTGTCATTCTCTTGAGTATAATATTCTTTGTTTGAGTTGTATCCATATTCATGTCTTTTCTCATGTACAACCGGTAAACAAAGAAATAATACTCTAGGGAATGACATGGTTTGAAATGGGAAAACATAATGCAAGTTATTCATTCAAGAAATTCACACCCAAGTAAATTAATGGATTTTTAACTTCTGTTGACAACCCTCTTTATATCTAAAGTTTCATAGTCTTCCATAAATTAAGCTTTTTCCTGCAGGTATAATACCAGTCTTTAGTTCTCCTCAACAATGGCTTTCCAAATTCCTCCACAATGACTAGAGAAAAGTGGTTGTAATCTTTGCCTTCTCTCTTTAGCTGCAGATTTTTGATACATAGGAGTTGGGTTTAATTCATTGGCACAAGCAGGATGTCTAAATTTTGAAGTCTTGTTCTCTCTACTGCCAGGTTTTTTGGTTGCTTTTGGATCCTCTGTCATCAATTGTATAAAGGACTTTGAATTCTTAAATCGTGAGCCTCCACTTTCATCTTGCGACATACTTCTTTTTGGTGTTTTGTTCATATTATTCATCTCAGAAGAATTGACATAATCTCTTGTAGACTCAAAGTTTTCTCCAAAGACACCAGAATCATCAAGAGATTGCGGATGAGTGCAAAATTCTTGTGAAGTGTCCTCTGATWTTCTYAKYTGKYGAAGTGTTTTTTCCTTATTRCGCATGGTTATTTTGCTGTCAATTRMTGTTACAAAGGTGTTTTTTCTTTCATCAACAGAGTGACATCTTCGTTTCATATTCTTTATATTTCTTGCCAAAATGTAACTTGAATTTGTTCTATTGGTGGTTGTGTGGTATTCACTATTAAGGTTTTTCTTGCCAAAAAGAAGATCAAAATGAATCCTATCAATGGAGTCTTTCAAGTCGTCTCTTTTGTTTTTTAAAGTTCTAACATTAATTCTTGGTGAGGGCGGCTTTTTTCTTTTAAAGATRGTAGTTTTCCATGTTTTGTTGTCTGAATTATCTAAAAATAAAAATAAACATAATTTTGATATTTAAAAATGTATGGGATGATATGGTTCATTTTACATTGGGGAGTGAAGGTGGGTGGCAAGTGTGTGCGTGTGGGGGGGGGGGGGGGGGGGGGGGAGGAGGTTGTCATCATTAAAAATATCAGGCTCAAGAGGGGGATCACAAAAAACGTGAGTCGCACATTGCTTTTACAACAAACAGAAGGGAAAACAAGGGTAGGGCCTTTTTTATGCAACAATGGAGTGTGACTTTTATTTTTCGTAAAACATGAAATGCCCATTATTTTGCATGAAACCCAATTTGTACCACCCACTTTATCACCCTGAAACTTTCAAGAAAACGTACACTAATTTTGAAAGCAATTTATTGAGCTTTTGACTCAACTAGAGTCTTGACCATTATGACTGCAGTCACTCCATCTTGGCTTTATATCGCCTAATTCAAAAAACATTGTCATCGCCAAAGGCAATAGGCAAAAAGCAATAGGAGATAAGTCATTCCAAGATCCAAGAATAGCTGGAATTACTTGTGTTTCTGCTTCTTATTCTCGTCAAGAACATGGACCTTAGTGTTGAGAGTCATTCAATGTTGTTTGTAGTCGATGTAACCATTTCCATCTCGGGATGACCTATCGCCTAGTATTGCCTTTGGCGATGACAATGTTTTTTTTTAAATAGGTGACTGTATACCTTTACATTCAGAAATATTGTTTTTAAAAAACCCTTTCTTTTACCTGTAAAGATATTCTTCTTCCCAGCTCTGTTGAGTAACCCTGAGCTATACTCTTGGCTATGGTCATGCATTTTCTCCTTTGCCAACTCAAGTTTGCTTCCATTGAAAAAGAAATCCTCAGATTTTTCCTCAAAGTGTTGAATTGATTCCCTATAACTAAGATATAATTTCAAGTTCAAATTTATTTGATTGTGTTACATAATTGAGGCCATGTTGGTGCTATAATTTAACAAAAGATTTCTCACTGGCACCCATTGTTAAATGCACCAAGATAGCAGTCATGTTTTTGTTTTTTAATCCTCCTGGGAACAATTTTTCTTAGCTTCGGTGTAATGTTTTCCCATTTCAAACCATGTGTCATAATATTCTGTTTGAGTTGTATCCACATTTATGTGTCCTTTCATTCACAACCATTAAACAAAAAAATGTTACTCTAGGGAATGACATGCGGACTGAAATGCATATTATGCCCAGTAAAGACATCTATTCTTATATAATTTGAAATAAATATGTTCATAGCCTGGCTTAACGAGTGTACATCATTTCTATGCATTAGTTTAATGTGTGTGCTCAATACATTAGTATGCCTAATCTTTTTGGGACACTCAGTTTATTTCCAATATTTTGAAGGCTCATTATCAATTATTCCAATATCCCCCTTCTCAGGGTCACTAAAAACTCGAGGCCCTTCATTTACTCACCCATACCCACTCTGACAAACAGAGTGGTTGTCGACATAGAGGGAAGGCATTTAACCCGTGAAATAAAAAATACTAGTCAATGTGTAATAGTCAAATAGATACAAAAGAAAACAATGGAATTAGAGTCTAGTAAAGTGTATTAGTCTAATATCTATTGCACGGGTTTAATGACTTTACTCTAAACCAATGAAACAAGTTAGAATTAGAGTTTAAAGCGTAAAAACACGTAAGAAAACAAAAGAATTAGAGTGTAATATTACTAAGTAATCTGAAGTGTATTTCACGGGTTTATGAAAACCACTCTAATGAACAGTCCCTTATCTTAATCCTAGCTTGATATGAAGTTATTAACGCAAAAGAACGTCATTAACCCTAAATAAATATATTGTGGTAAGTTCAAAATATTTTCAAAACGTCTAAAAAAGGTGTAGTTGAACATTTCTTAACCATTATTAATTTTTTTAAAAGATAAATTGCAAAACTCCTTAACAACTTGAAAACATGAATCTTGCAGAATACCTACAGCTTTTCAAAGGCATCTTTTAGATKTTCTTTATAATTCATTTTTCAAATTTCCCTCCAACAGAACAGAACTGAAAACAATACACGACAAAGAGAGCCTGGACACTAGATAAAAATGTTACGACACACCAAATAGCAATAACTGCTGGTCCTTTTTGAGCCCACAGACCAGAATCCAAGATGGCGGACGAAGTGTTGCTTCATCGCTTTACTTCACATAGCCTCGATAAATTCGCCGAGATTGAAGAACTTGCATCCGAAATATTGTCAGATAGAGAGCAGGTACCCTTGAAAAGGATTTTTTCTTAGCCTATCAGTGTATTTGTTCTGCAGATCTTTATTTAATTGAACATTTTATAGTCGCAATATTTTTAAAATAATCCAATTCATGATTTTCACTTGAGTTTAAGTTTACTTACAATTTTGTCTTGAAGATTGTAGAGCTTGATCGAAAAAGAAACAGCAATCGAGAAGCACTTAGAGCTCTTAAAAAGAAAAGCCAAGGTAATATTAAATTTGTAAATTCATTTGTAAAATTTACAAAAAAACGAGTGTTTTTTTTCCTGGAAGGGAGTGCATATTATTTTWTTGAAAATATAGTACACTAGTACCATGTGAGAATCAAATGAAAAAAAAGTTAAAAAAAAGCACCAGCCCCTCCATCTTCGCAGTCACTGTTTAATTACCTCGTTTGGTTCTTAATTCACTCACAATCAGCTAGTCACCCAAAATTAAATCTATTTTTAGCAGGTGAAAAGTCGTGGGTTTGTTTTGGGAACACGTTTATGAAGCTCAGTGACTCAAAGACAAAGGAAATGCTTGAACAAGGTGATTAYGAAGGTTGACATCATCAATTATCATCATCATTATTGTTACCACTGCCAACATCAACATCCTGATGATTTTCATCATCATGCACCACCATTAGCCATTCAGAGGTTGAAGAAAAAAACTGGGTTGAGTTAACATTGCAGTGCATTGTGGGACTGTTTTAGGAGACAAAACCATAGGCACCATCTTGGAAATATGACCCCAGAACAGTCCCACAAAGCACTGCAATGACAGAGTTTTTCATCAACCTTGGAATAGCTAATTATCACCTGCAATTTCCATTGTCACCATCAACACCATCTGCATCATGATCATCATTACCATCATCATTAGCACTGCCTCATTATGATCATCACCATTATAACCACTACCGTCAYCACAACCACCACCACTATCTACATCATATTAGAGAGATTTGATTTAATCCGTGAAAAACATAGTTAATGGAGTGGAATGGTTTGGAACAAAGCTATTTGTTTTCGTGTTTGAGGTTGAACCATACCATCACGTGATACTGATCATGCACAATGAACTAAAGTAGTATRGCTAGGAATACTCATTGCCTTATTTAAATAATTTCATGCCTGAACATTTTGAAAGTGAAAACTTTCATTCGATGACCAAAAACCATGCCGATAAATATTTCCGCGCAGATACAGTTAAGTTACAAGATGATAAGTAAGAGAGCATGAAAAAAGGCAATTTCGTTCTTGATAAACAATGTTACCATATAGGATTAATTAACAACTATTTTAGAACATCTTTTTAGAGAAAAATTTATATATTCCCTAATAATGTGAACAAATTACGGAACATTTTTCCTTCTCTGTGCACCGTCAACGTCACATAACAATGGGTAAAGTCAAACAAAAACCTAGAACAATAGATAGGTTTCCCAACCATTCCACACCATTAACTATGGTGAAAAAATAGCTTGCATAATAGTGAGCAAGTAGCCTCTAAACCCATTGTTTTCTKTTGTTTTTTTATCAACTAGTACTAACTAAATAGTCATTTTTCTTTCACTGGTAAAATAAAATCACTGCTGGCTGAACACCTACGTATTAGTCATCTTTTCTAAAGCCAAGTTATTACAAACCCATGGTTTTTTTCTTGTTATCATAGATCAGAAAAATGTTAATGAAGAACTAGAAAACCTTAGAAAGGAGCTCAAACCTAAAGTGGCCAAACTTCATGAGCTTGAAGGTATGTACAGTAAAGGCCAATTTACATGGTACAAATTACTCTCAAAACTGTTGTGGACAACATGCTTACCCATGTTTTAGCTGCCATTTACAGTTTTAAACAAGTTGAACGGTTGATTTACCTGAARCAATTCATGTCATCAGCAAATGACAATGCCTTGAACATTACTTACTTTAGTCCTACTACTTTTAAGGGTGCTTCCTAGTCCCTTGACCCTCTTGGAAATTCCAGWCCCTTCCATGAAGGAGGTATTGATATTTCTGGGGGCTAAAAAAATTACCTTTTTCTGACCCTCCCAATCCCTTGGAAGTTTCAATCCCCCTTCATGGGGGAGGTATGGTATTTTCTGCAAAGTCCTACACAATATACCTTCCTCAGACCCTCCCTACATGCACTGTATTACCAAGATAGAACTGATACAAAGTCAGCTTATTTCTGAATCAAGCCATCCAAATTCTATTATACTCAACAGGTTTACCAGAAGTCAAAGGCTTTAATCTATCATCCAGACCTTCCTCAGACCCTCCCTACCCCTTGGACATTTCAATTTCTACACAAACGAGATTACCCACTAAAATTCTAATCATCTAGAATATTCACTGGTGTGTCCTACATGCACTGTATTACCAAGATAGAACTGATACAAAGTCAGCTTATTTCTGAATCAAGYCATCCATATTCTATTATACTCAACAGGTTTACCAGAAGTCAAAGGCTTTAATCTATCATCCATGGGTAGCGATGAAATGGAGTTTATTGCAGGGGTAAAATAATAAAAATGATCAGCACTTATAATTTTCCAGAGGATTTCAATTGTTYATCAAGTAAGTCTACTTCCTCTTTCATTTAAAGTGGTACGGGCGTAAGCAGTCTAAGAAAACTAAACATTTTTAATAAGCTCTCAAACAACCTCTGGGCTGATCTAATTCAGGGAACGGCTAACTCACAGATTGAACCATAAAACAACCTCTGGGCTGATGAAAGTCAGGGCATGGCTAACTCACAGATCAAACCCTGAAACAACCTCTGGGCTGATCTAATTCAGGGCACAGCTAACTCACAGATCAAACCCTGAAACAACCTCTGGGCTGATGAAAGTCAGGGAATGGCTAACTCACAGATTGAACCATGAAATAACCTCTTGGCTGATGAAAGTCAGGGCATGCCTAATTCAATGATCAAACCCTGAAACAACCTCTGGGCTGATCTAAGTCAGGGCACGGCTAACTCACAGATCAAACCTTTAAACAACCTCTGGACTGATCAAAGTAAGGGCATAGCTAACTCAAAGATCAAAAAATTAAAAAAATGAAATTTAGCATATCTTGGAGGGCTGCAAGAGTATATTAATTAATTACTATAATTAATATTAATCACTACAACATATCACAYTGGTCAAAGTTCCTTTATACATCCAGACAATTGAACATCTTAAAACTTTCTAAGTATGTACACGCTTATTTAAAGATATTTACTAGTAGATGTACACAAAATTTACAAAGTATAAAATTAATATGATTAATAATAATTTGTGATATAGTTAATGTTTGGTTGAAAAATTATGTTAGTTTTTGTGGCTTGGTGTGTTAATATTTTTTCAGTTGCTATGTTTATCAGTGAGCTGGTCTTATGAGATGACATTCATCTCCAGACTGATTTGGCACTTAAAGGGTCAATTTTTGTGCAGTGGGAGGGGGGGGGGGGAAGCAAATAACCCAGAGAAAAAACTATAAAATGCAGTGATAGAAAACTGCAAACAACTCTACTCACGTGTGATATGGGTAGAGATGGATTGCATCTGGGTTCTCAGCAGTGAGAGGTGCTATGTTTACCTCTCAGCACTTGAAAGGTTTACAACTGGTTTCATTGCTACGCACTGATTGATACGACAGTTGCGGCAAAGAAATTGGGCAATAGTCTACTGTCAATCAAATTTATCAMGAGTCAGTAGTTTACCATTACGTACCTACAGATTTATTTTATTGACAGTTACTCTAGTTTACTGCCCCATTTCCATGTCGTGACTGTTGTATTGATCTGTGCAAAGCAATAAAAACTGKTAAAGAAACTTAGATAGTGATCTAGTCTTTAATGGCACTGTGCAGCTGAAAGATAGACAGAGCATTYGATGACTGGTAGTGCAGAATGTCGTCAACCCTTCTTAGTTGTTTGTGCGGCTTTTAAAACTTGCTTGATTTGCTTCTCTCGGTCKGTGTTACAGCAACCTGTTTAAAAAATATTCATCAAGTCAATACGTCAATACGTCATACATTAGAAATCATAAATTAAAGAAAAAGACATCTGTAAACTAGATGCAAAATATTTATCCCTTTAAATCTCATTTGTTTAGTAGAACAGAGATTTCTAATTTTAAGGCATTTGATAAAATGTGGAATTCATATTTGCATCCAATCTGTATGGGATTTTAAATGGCTTGCCCCATGTATTGGCAATTCATGTTGAATTCAAAGTAGTGGAAAAACACAGGACTTTTGGTGTGCCATCAAATGGCCATCAAACAACCAACAAACTGCTGTCAAACTGCACCGACAGCTGGTCGACAGGGTATCAGAGGCTCTGTYCTTGTCTCTTACCCAAAGTATTTTTCTATGAAGGGCATGAATTCCAAGCTTGGTCACCCTGTGTTTGATCATTTAGAGAGATTACCTAAAAATGTATTTGTTGGATAGCTTGGTTGTGGAATGCAATCAGCTCCACAAGAATCATCCATGGATACAGGGTTGTCGTTCCATATCAAATCAAAACCACCTACTCTCTTTTCTCTTCCTGTTAACCTGATAAACCAAACAGCAGTGTAGGAATTAATTATGTTGCAGTGTTTTCATTGCTGTGCACTGATCAAGGCTGCAGTCACRGCAGGGAAATCAACCAATAGACAGCAATCAATCCAATAAATCATTAAAGTATGTCAAGGTACATGACAAGGTACTGTAACGATTTATTTGCTTAATGTAGGAATTGATTGTGTTGCCCGATTTCCATATCACGACTGTTGCCTCAATCAGCACATAACAATGAAAATGCAGGGATAGCAGAGCACTTTTTTGGTTCGGGGGGGGGGGGGGGGGGGGTAATCTCTGATTGTCTTCGTAACGGAACTCAAAGTAAGAGAAAATAAGGTGTCATTCTGGTTCCACAGTGCTGAAACAGTGGTACCTGGTGATGCTCATCAACAACTAGAATATTGCATAACTTATGTGAGTAAAGTTTGTTGGTCTCCTGTGCTTCAAAGGGGGACTAGCACGAAAATCGACCGAATCTTAATTCAGCTGAAACTTTACTGGAATAACCCTTAAAGGTCTAATAATCACTGGTTAAAACATTTTCCTGACATTCAGATGGGAAGTATAATTATATTTTTGCRAATTTTTATTGCGAGTCTCTGATGTCCTACGCTTTTAAGGGTCTTTCTCCATCAAGTTATCTAGTTTTCCACTGTGCACAAGAATCAAATGCCTTTTCAATTTTGAATTTACCTGTTTTCCATGTCTATGATGTAGAGCACATCTTCAAGGAGCCTAAACTTGAGTTCGTAATCAGTTTGGCTGCTTGCTGTCAGTGAGGGCGAGGCATTGACTTCTATCAGCCACCTGCAAATTATCATCAAACTCTTAGATTATACCTCACTTTGCTCGGTCTTTACAGCATGACCTTGAGCCAAATATTGGCCCTTCCACTCAGTCAAAAAGTAATATATACAGTATGAGTGGCCGTGTTGTATCAGAAATACAAACTCAAAGCGTAGCCAAGAGTTCGTATATCGGATACAACAAGGACACAAATACTGTAGATTGCTTGTCAAACGTCTAGGTTAGTTCCTTTGTGTTTCGCTGAAATTTTCAAGATAAAAGTGAATCTGGCCAAGAAAATCCATCTTAAAGTTTATGCAAATGAACAGGATTCTGTATCTGATTTACAGAACTCTTCACGGTCGTGATTTCTGTTGTGTTTTCTCCATGAATTATTAATGAATTTAATAAGTACATATGCTTACGGTTTTAGATTGTTATCAAACATGATATCGTAGCCATATCTGATAGTATAATGTAAGGGAAAATCTGCAGTGTGACAAACTAACGAAGGCGACAAAGCAATGCATTGAAAAAGAATACTTCTAATTTAGTATATCAACAAAACAACAACAATAATAAAAAAATTATGGGACAAGAAAGAGATCGTCCTGACACCCCTACATCCACTGACGCGTCAAGTAAGACAGCAATATCAACAACAAGTATTAAAGGATACAGTTCAAAGCAGTGCTTGTCATTGATCATCACCTTCTGCACAGCATGCAAGCTTTTGATGATTATGTTATCAATTTCTCGTAGGGCGGTCTCCACCTTAAAAAAAATAAAATGTCAACTTTTTAACCAACTAGGGCTTGAAATAACAACTGGCCAGTTGCTCAGGTYTTGATGATCAGCCAATTAGTTTTAGCTCTGTCATACTCATTCAGGGTTCATGCTACATTTTCGTTACRAAATTCAAGGACTTTTTAAGCACTTTTTAAGCACAAAAATTTGATTTTCAAGAACAAAGTTTTTTGTATTAGAACGTGGTTTAAACATTGATTCGGTGTTACAGTGCAGCTAATTCATCCRGGGCCACTAGCTTAGATAAATAGATCTTTAATTTACGCATTCTTACCAGAAGTACCCAGATATTCAGCTAGGCTATTTGTRAAATATACGAAAACTCTTCAATCAATTTTAATCATTATTTATTTCAAAAGGAAAGTTTTCCAGGAGTTTTGGCGTTTTCCCCTATTTTCAAGGGCTTTTCAAGCACCCTTAAAAACGTGTTTTCTATTCAGGACTTTTCAAGGATTTCAAGGAGTAGGTCCTGCTCATTTCTGGCTCTCCCCTCAGTAATAATTCTCTAGTTACCTTTGGAACACCATTTTTTGCCACAAGATACTGCCGTAGTTGTTGCAAGGACCATTTACAGCCCTGTAGATTATAGACCAAGCCAATAAAAGATATTTATCATAGACAGAGGTATTTTAATTTAATCTAAATAGTGAAGTGGATTTTCATTAAATTAAACATCAAGAACAATGGCATACAATATTGGGAATCAAGGGTGGCACAGCAGTAACACGCTTGCCTCTCATTCCTAGAGTTTATTAGTTCTCCATTGATTTGAGAGGTTTTCYATGGTTTTCCTAAGTTCCTTTTCCTCTGCAAAAACTAACAGGCCAAATTCCAAATATTTGATCTATGAATTAGCGTACCCTGACTCAGCCCAGAGATTGTTTCAGGGTTCTATCTG